TGCAGAGTGAGGCAGTAGAATGGCAGAGTTGCTTGAAATATTGTCTGGTGATTTTGCTAGTAGAATTGTACATATTTGGAATTTCACAGTCTGAAGCTCCCTGAGGTGAAGGATGACAAATTCATCTGCAACTTACACATCTTGAAAATGCTTCCATGTGGGCTCTGTGGAGATGGCTCAGTCAGTAAAGTTCTTGCCTTGCAAGCAAGAAGACCTAAGTTTGATCCCCTTAAGCCCACATTTAAAAAAAAAAAAAAAAGAGTCCTTCATGGTAGATGTGTTTATAATCTGAGCTCTGCGGATGTGAAGGCAGGAGGATCCCTGGGGCTCACTGGCCAGTCAGCCTAGCCTACTGTACAGTGAGTTCAAGGCTGGTCACGTACCCAGTCTCCAGAAAGGGTAGGTGGAGCCTAAGGGATGACACCAGAGGCTGTCCTCTGACTTCCACACACAAGCCCCCAGTATGCACATGTATATGTATGTGCACGGGCGTGCACACACACACACAAACACAATCAAGAACACTCCCATTTGTGTTCTACCAGATGAACTTATGATGACCCTAACCCTATTCTCTGCCATGTGCCTTCTTTCATTTTAATTTCTGTCTGGCCCCAATACTTGGCTCATCTTCCACAGTGCCCTGCCTCTGTCTAATGTCTCTATGGACCACACAGGTGGGTATATAATAGAAGCAGGAGTGGGAATTCTGCTGCAGGTCCTGCATCTCGGGATTAGCATTGTGTGCTTACACCACTTGCTAAATGCTGTCTTAGTGGATGGATTTCACCAGAGTCAAGAAACTAGAGGCATAGTTAAATGTTAGAGAAGGCTGGAGAGGGAGACAGCCCCAGCTACCCGGTACCTGCACTCTTGATGAGCTATCTCCAGGCTGGTCGTTGACAGTGGCCTGGGTCATGAGCATTGGCAGCACAGACTGATGAGTTCTTTAAGGCTGCCTGGGCTCTTCCCTTCTTTGTTTTTACCTCTTAAACCTAGCCATTTCTCCTTCCACTACATGTCTCTTTAAGGCCTCTTCGTGTTTCCTGTCATTGGCTCATCAGTTCTTACTGAGATCAACTTACAGGTGCTAGATAAAATAGCAATAGATTATTGGTATCCTCCCCCCCCCCCCCTCTCTCTCTCTCTCTCTCTCTCTCTCTCTCTCTCTCTCTCTCTCTCTCTCTCTCTCTCTCTCTCTCTCTCTCTCTCTCTCTCTCTCTCTCTCTCTTTCTCTCTCTCTGTGCAGGCCAGGGGTTGGTGTCAGATGTCTCCTATGATGCCCCCCACACACTCTCCATTTTATTTTTTAAGCTAGGGTTGTTCACTGCACCTGAAGCTCACTGGTACAGTCTCAGCTGGCCAGCAAGCCCCAGGGAGCCTCCTGTCTTGTCTCCCCTTGATGATGCTACACACGCACCCTGCAGTTTGCAGCTTTTATGTCGGTGCTGGGAATCCAGCTAAAGTCCTGAAGTTTGTAAGGACTTTACTGACTGAGCCTCTTGACTCCTTTTATTAATTTTTGTTTCTACAGAAAACTCGTTAGGCCACAGTTAAACTTGTTTATTAAGAGGTACATAGATCCTGAGGGGGAGGGGACTAATACAGATCAAGCATTGTTTTTAAATTGTGGAATCAAAGATTAACTCATAGAGCGGTAAAATGGCTGCAGGGGTAAAGGCATGGTGACCTGAGTTCCATTCCCAGAATCCAAATGGTAGAAAGAAAATAACACAGTAGGAGAGTTATGTTTTGACCTTCACAGGTGTGCCATGCATGCACACACATAAATAACTGTAAAGATAAAAGCTACAGGTAACAATGGAAAAGGATTATTCTTACACTTATTGTCAAAATTTGATAATTTTTAAAAAAATGTTTTGCAACTTCATATACCCCCCCACACTGCCTGTTTTTGTTTTCTACTGCTAGAAGGCATTGGGAAAGCTTTCAGAATAATTTTTTCCTCTTGTTTTGGTGAGAAGAGCCCCAGGTCGGACTGTTGCTATGAAACGAGAGACAGACTCCAGGACAGGCACGAGCAGCTTTGTTTTGTAGGCACTCCACATGACTGACGTGAATAACAGACCCATTAGTGAGTAGTCAGGGCTGCGGCTTGAAACAGCTGCTTCCTCACCCCTCAACCTCTCTGCCTAGAAGCCAAACCTTTAATGTCGAATGCCTGACTGAATGCTGATATAAGTTTGTATTCCATCAAAAGTGTGATTTTAGCTGTTCAGTCTACAATTACAGAGGGGCAAATGCCATAAAACAAAGTGTGTGTGTGTATGTGTGTGTGTGTGTGTGTCCATGTAGCAGAGTCATATGACTCCTTCCCTGACCCATTCTTTGCTTCTTCCTGATGAAGAATGGAGACCGTAGATGTGCCTGACAGTGACCCATGGCTGCCCTGGACACAGGCTAAGACAAGGCAGCTAAAGTCTAACGAGCCGACACCAGGCTCCATCTTCGTTGTTAACACTCTCAAGCCTGGTATAACGACTCTCCCCTATAGTCTTGTGCAAGTGTCCCATTCCCACAGGCCTGAAATGAGCAGAGCCTCTGAGTAATTCAGGTTCACAAGCCACGGTGACAGGAACGTGTGGTCCTTTTGAGCACCGAGGGAGTCACAATGCTATACACAGTGTGCTCTTACCAGACAGCCCATGGAGCCCTGAGTACACACCAGCCTTAATAGATGTGGCTTTGTTTTCTGTGTGTGGGGATACAGAGGCCTTAGAGCTGCTAAGACGGTATTCATTTGTGGTGACCAGCACAGCTCTTGAGAACTGTTCTGCCGTGAGGCAGAAAGGGTTCCTTTTCTGCTGCTGACTTGGGTCACTATGCTTGACCTGCCCAGATGTCTGTCACCTCCTGGGCTTTGGGGAAATGTAAGGAGCCTCTTAGGAAGAGGTCCCGTCTCAGGCCTACAGGAGCTAGAGCTGTAATTGCTCAGCCAACTGCCATGGACAAGAATATGGGTATTGATGGTAGAGGGTTCATGTCTCTGTGAATAGGTACATATATGTTAACACAGGCACTTGCTCCTGCTTTGCCTGTGCCCTTATCCGCATCCACTCATCCGAAGATGCACCTATACCTGCTCCCCTGGTCAGTGTCAGCATGCGGTGAGATGCTCTCTGGCTTCAGGGGAGGCCCTACCTAGGTGCTCAGCAGATTATCTTGGCAGCACCCCCCAACAAACCACTGCATTCCAAAGTGCCATTGGACCTAGGTAGCTCTAGCTTCCACGCCCCAAACCACTGCATTCCAAAATGACATTGGCCCTCGGTACCTCTGTAGCCCTAGCTCGCACTCCTGTCTTCACAGGATGGCTCCCACTGATGAAACCATCAGCCACACAGAAGCCCTTGATCGGGTCAGCTTCAGTTTGCAGGGTCATAGATGGCTGCCTAACCCCGACAAACTGTTTGCATCTGAAGCTGACCTTGAAGAAAGAAGCCTGCCAATGATGGTGGTTTTTATATAGTTTTCAGGATCATTTAGGTGCATATTGGAACAATCCATTCATTCCAGGCTTTTACAGGGTCAGTGGAGTAGAGGAATTTTGTGTTCAAGGTGGGTGGGCAAGTGATAAGAGAGGACCTTTTCCCCAGGATTCTTAGAACATAGTCGGTGACGGTGGGAATCTTGGTTCTGTAAGAGGGCAGTAGGCTATTCAGCATCACTCACTGACCGGACCTCGGGATCCCTGTTTGTCAGACGTTCAGGGACTGGTGTTTCTTTGAATTGCATAGTGAGAGAGAACTCGGGCAACCTGGCAATGGGCCTTCCCTGCAATGTCCAGCCCACCACTTCCTGTTCTCTGCCATAACAGATGTCACTTCCTATGGCCTCTGTCTCCTTGTCTGAGGAATATAAATAATACTCTTCATTGTTGTGTTAATGTATGCCAGCTATCATTATTATTTCTCCAGTTCCCTCTATTACTAATGTAGCCCCTTCCACATGCATCTCCTGCATACATCCCTAAAGGCTTGGGTTGTTTTGAACTAGGAAATGACTGAACCAGGAAATGATACAGAGATCTTGACTTTGGGGGAATGATCAACAGTTTCCAGTTTAAATTATCTGTCTAGTCAGTGTAGCCACAGAGTCATTGCTAAAATTGAAATGTTGACTTTGACTAAAGGTGAAAAGAAGGAACAGTGGCAAGAACAATTCCGGTCTCCGTCTAGTTTGGACAGGTTGGTGTAGAGAACGTCAGGCTAGGAGCACTATGTAACAGTAGACGTCAAACATTGAAAATCCAGGTCTCCCAGGTGTGTGCTGTGGGCAGAATGAAGACGGTAGATAATGCCCGTCTAGGAAGAAAGGAGAAAGCCATACAAGAAGCGAGTTCACACGAAAGTGATGATCCCCTTATTCAGAGCAGTGAAACAGAGCATGCTTTGGGCGGCATAGGTGCATCTGCCTTCTGCTAGTTCACAGACAAACAAGGCTAGGATGTAAACAGACATATAAAAATCAGGGAGGCTGCGAATGAATGAGCCCCACCGTGGAGAAACGAGGTGCTTAGCTGCCTGCCCCTCCACAGACAGTCCTCAGTGATCACGGTGACTGCTGCAGATCTCCCTTGCCAGTCGCCCTCCTCCACGGGCCGTCCCCTTTTCCACACCCCCTCAACGGTCGAGTGCTCTTGGTCTTAGTAACAGAGGACTTCTGACTGTAATCCTAGCGCGTCACTTTGTTGAAGGCAAACACGTGGTTTGGGGAGCACTTATAAATCTCTGCTCAGGGCAGGATCGTGATGTTATCTGCTGGCAGCAGAAGGTTTGCTGGGAGCGGAGCTGCCGAAGCTGCCGGCCGGAGAGCCAGAGCGAGAGAGTGAGAGAACAAGCAGGGAGCTCTGAGCCTTAGGGCAGGCGGCAGGGATGAGGAGCAGAAGCATTAGGGTTTAAGGAACCGGCGTTCTGGAGCAACCCGGCTGCAGAGAGGAATAGGTATCAGCAGAGGTCTATTTTAGGGTCGCAAGTACGGTCTTACCCTAACCGAGAAAGTGCAAGCTTGCGGGGAGCCAGGAGAGGCTGGGGAAAGGGTGCGAGTTGGCGTCCCGCAGCCAAGGCGCCCAGGAGGCGGTGTTGCTCCACAGTGGGTGAAGGAGGTGACCGATCTCTGTCGCCCCGTGGCCGCCTGGAGCAAGAGGAGGAGGATCTGCTGGACGGAGCTGGAGGCTAACCCCCTTTGCAGGCATCAGCGGCGGCTGCAACGTGGAGCGACCCAGCCGGGTGTAGGCCACAGCGCGGCCGCAGGAGCAGGATCGTCGCTGCCTGCTCCGGCCTCGGCGGATCTCCGGGGCGGACAGTACCCCCACCGAGTCCCCAAGAGAGCGGTGCCGGGGCGCATCTGCCTCCCCGCGGCTCGCCAGGCTCGCCCTCGGCGCGCGCACACGCACGCGCGCGCACATCCACACGCACACTCATCCACACACGTGTGGAAGGCAGGGCCGAGCCGCTCGGTCTTTGAACATCTCAGTTAGAGCCCGGAGCAGCCCAGGCCGCCGCTCTGCGCTCCCTGCGGCCCTGAGCTCCTCCTGCCATCCCCCGGACCTTCTGGACTCTTCCCTTTTGGCCTAAGGATCCGAGTTCAGATCCGCCACTCCGCACCCGAGCCTGACACACTGAACTCCATTTCTTCCTTTTAAGTTTATTTCTACTTCAGAGCCACTCACCCCCTCCCTTCTAGGGGAAAAAACAAACCTTTCTTACTCCTTAAAGCCCCCTCCCCTTGAGCATCGCATATTAATATCTCCACGTTGGGAACGCGCTGCATTTTCTTTTTTAAAAGGAATTCCAGCCAGAGACGTTTTTCTATTGGGCATTGACTTTCGATTGCTTTGCAAAAGTTTCGCATTAAAAAACAAAACAAAACACAAAACGTTACCTGATCCGCTCTGAGAATTATTGGTTTCTTTTTATATTTTTTTTCTTACTTTAAACAACAACAGCAGCAACGTTTCCACCTTTTAAAAAACATGCACTACTGTGTGCTGAGAACCTTTTTGCTCCTGCATCTGGTCCCGGTAGCGCTCAGCCTGTCTACCTGCAGCACCCTCGACATGGACCAGTTTATGCGCAAGAGGATCGAGGCCATCCGCGGGCAGATTCTGAGCAAGCTGAAGCTCACCAGCCCCCCGGAAGACTATCCTGAGCCGGACGAGGTCCCCCCGGAGGTGATTTCCATATACAACAGTACCAGGGACTTACTGCAGGAAAAGGCAAGCCGGAGGGCAGCCGCCTGCGAGCGCGAGCGGAGCGACGAAGAGTACTACGCCAAGGAGGTTTATAAAATCGACATGCCTTCCCACTTCCCTTCCGAAAGTAAGTACAGTTTCCATGGTTTTCGCCTTTTCCATCCCCGAGTCTAAGGTTGGCCCAGAGCTCCACAGACCCCACAGCAGCCCCAGGCGTTCGCCCTTTCCTTTCCAGGTCCCCAGGTCCCAGTTGTCCCCTTTCCTTTCTGTCCTTCGCTCCTTCCACTATCTTTCCTGTTGTAGGATAGAGATCCGCAGGTTTGCAACTTCACCTTAACGTTTTATTTTATTTTTTTCTCTCTATAATCCCCTTCCCCCAAATGCCCCAGCCCCCCCCCTTTTTTTTAAAGGCGTTTGGATTTCTCCCTAGTCTCTGGTCCACAAACTAGGGAGTCAGCTCCCTTCTGTCAAAAGGAAAGCGCTTTCCCTATGACTTTAGGCTAGGGGGATCGTGATAGACGATCTTTGCTGGGTTGGCGTGGGGTGGGGGGTGGGGGTGTCCTCCAACTGGTGCACAAAGAGTTAAAAAAAAGTGCCTCCAAACTAGCTTTCCTAAAGGTACCCCTTTTCCATACTGACATATTTGGGGGTTCCCCAAGTCTTTGCTATTGTTTCTCACTGCCCGAAGAATGTCAGCATCACCAACACCAAATGCGCGCGGAGTGTTGGGGGGGGGGCACCGAAAACCCCTATAATCCTCGATCTTCTGTTGCTGTCTGTAGGTGTTTTCACACCCCTCCCCTCGCAAAACCGTGTAGCCAAGTCCCCTTCTGACCTCACGTGGAGAGCAGAAAGGATAAAAAATACGGTTCTAACTGGTCTGAAGTAGCTTTCACTTCCCGGTCTGTTTTTCTAGCTAGCCCTCACTAGGCTGAGAGCAGGTTTTTCTTAGGGGCTTCTCCAGTATCTTTTTCAACCTTAACTCGTCTGCTCCAGCACTTTCTTAAGCAGGGGGGACTCTTTTGCATTCTGAAATCGAATCTAGGAAAGACAGCTGATTTTTAAAAAATTTAAATTTTTATCCTGTTTCCCTGCGACCAGGATCCTCAAAACAGCTGGCATACAGTAGCAATGATTTATTGTGGAACTCTGGGGGGAAGGGAAGAAGTACCGTTAATGTGTTTTTTATTTCAGAGTTCTTTAAAACAGGCAGGGGGAGATTGCGACCTCAGCAGCGACAGTATTGAGTGGTTACCTGAGAGGGTTAAACACCAGGAAGAAACCCTAAAAGAAAAAATAAAAACTTCACCATGGGCTGTGTTCCAATTCCCGTCATAAACTTTTCATTGGCCGGCCCTTTTTCTCCTCCCCTTTTCATGCCCTATATCCTCGCTGGCTGCCTCTCTGAAGCCTCAGTGTCTTGCCTAAATAGATAATGCAGCCATCTTGGTAATCTTATCCCAGAAGTTAGAATTGCAGGGTGGTGCTTTTCTCTTCTAATATTTATTTTTAGTTTGACGAGCCATGGCTCTTCAACTTGCCTTGTCTTGTACTTGGTGTCCTCAGAGTGTCTACCCATGTGTCTACCACCCTCTCTGGTCACTTTTTTTATCCTGGAGCATTTCTTGTTCTTTCATGGCGTAACCGACCTAGGGAACCCTGCCCGGCAGGATGGTTTTATTATCATAATTATGGTCCTAACCCACTACAGTGGTGACACTTACACTCCGCCCTGGCCCTGTTTTTCCCCCTTGGGAAGTAAGGCTTTTATTTGGGGTGGAGCCACAGCCAGGCTAGGGAAGAGAGTTCATTGTAATTAGTCTAGAACCACTGAGGCTGCGCGAAAGGTTGAGTCAGTTAGCTTTCTCCTGCATGTGTGTGCTGATTCTACCGATATTTGGACTGATAGTCAGGTATGTTATATGGGGGCTGAAGAGCTCCTCCTTCAGTGTTTACATGCAAACACTCAGATTAGCTGCCAGGATGTTTGCCAAGACCGTATTGCATAGGTGTGGAAGGACTTGCCAAGCAAGCACTTAAGTCTGATGAATGAAGGTGAGCCAAGACAGGACAACCCAGGACCACGGCCACGGGCAAATTATAAACATTCCTGGTTTATCAGGAAGATTCGAGAGCATCATCTAAGATTAATGTGTGGATTCTCATCTTTATCCCATCCCTGAACCTCCAAATAAATGAAAACCTAAAAACTGCATGCACGCGCACACACACACACCCATTTTTATATATATATATATATATATATATATATATATATATATATACACACACACACACATGTGCTATCATATTTTCAGAGAAAAAAATAGAGATTTAAGAAACCTGTGTTCAGTGCAGACACTTAGAAGTGGAATGTCATATTAATAGTAGATTCAACACAACTGTGCAGGCACTGTGGATAATTTTATAGAAAGTAGGTTAACTGACTTTCCAGGGCTGAAAAGTCCTGGGATATAGTGAGAGCTTCCAAAAAGGAAGGAAGGAAGGAAGGAAGGAAGGAAGGAAGGAAGGAAGGAAGGAAGGAAGGAAGGAAGGAAGATCATTTCGTTGTGTTTTTAAAGAAAAGAAAACTGAAAGTACAGCCATGAGCAGAGCGGCTCCCACGCCAGCTTTCCCTCTCTCCCTCCTCAGCACTCTCTGCCTGGCTTGGGACTGGGCTGTTGCTGCGGTGCCCGAAAGGAGGGCGTGTGCCTGCTGTGCTGTGCAGTGAATCTGAAGAGGGCCACAAGTGCACAGAGGAAGGCATGGGAAAGATCACTGCTTCTTCTTTCTTTTCCTTTCCCCCACCATCTTATTAGTGTTCAGGGAGTGACTTCAACTCAAGTATTACAAATATGCCCTAATTGTACTTGGTGACTATATATCACCACAGATGGTTGATAGCCCTTCGCGGGACATTTTATAAAGTTCAAACTCAATATTTTTAGCAATGTGGAGATTTAAAAGTGAAAATATAAGAGATATTGTATATGCCCTCAGGCATACTTTGTCTTAAATATTATCCTTGGCCAAGTGTGCTGTATAAATAAAGTAGATATTAATAGAACTGGCCAGATGCCAAGCTCCTAGTATGAATTTTAGCCAAGAATGTATTTATGGGGTATAAATAATACTATGTCAACATTTAAAGAAGGGGTCTGATTAGTTTTGCATTTCTTCATATTGATCTTTTCACATTCTGTTAGTTTAAGACGCAAAGTGGAGCTGTGTTGGAGTTTACTGATAGCTTGCCCAGCAGTAGTTAGTGATGTCAAACACTTTGACTATTCCCTTTGAAGTTCAAGGTGCAGCTATTCAGAAGATGCTGTGCAGGGCTTTCGAAATTCTGAAAAAGTGACTCTATTATGTCTAAGAAGAATCTAAATTGATATTAAACCCCATGGAGACGTGGTGGGGAAAGAGGAAGTCATTTTCTTTCTTTCTTTCTTTTTGTCTAATTTTATTTGTTGGTTGGTTGGTTTTAAGTTTGAGGCTTTCCTATGGCAAGAAAGCAATTCCTGAGCTATATCCCAAGCCCGGTCTTGTTAATATGGGTCTCATGATATAGCTCACGCTGGCTTTAAACTTGTCATATAGTCTAGGAAATCCTCAAACTCATGACTCTCTGGCCTGATGGTCCCCAGAGCTGAAACTACAGGAGTTCACCACGTGCTTGGCTTCTCCTCTCTACTTTCTTCTCAAGAAAGCAGGCCCATGTTATGGGTCTAACTGTGGCAGCTTTGCTCCTGCCCTTTCCTCCCCCTACTCCACAAGCTTCTGCTGTGGCAACGTCTGAAAATAGCTTTCTTCCTCTGGAGGTGGGGTGCTGCTGCTGGTCTTCCATCCTATCATAATGAAGACGGCAGCCTTATCATATACCAGAGAATTATCCAGCTTCCCATGGTGGGAAGCCACAACTCCCTGGTGGTTAGCTTGGGTACTGTTTTAAAAGCAATAGCAACAATAGAATATCTTTACCATCAAAAGATATTAAAATAAAATCATCAAATAGAGAATTATCAGAATAGAGTATGGATTAGGCTATTTTGTATGGCATATATGTATGACTATAATATTGAAACTCATATATGAGAGACAATCAAGTTTCCCATTCACTGACCTTCAGCAACAGGGTTGGGTCTCTCGTTTACTAGGAATGCCAGTCAATATCAGACATATGCCAGTCAGCACATAAGAAAAAAGAATAGAGGAATTATCTTGGATTTTTTAGTCTGTGTTAATGAAGAGTGGAATCTGTAACCTGGGCAAGCCAAGGAAGTAGGTAGCCATGTTGGCTTATATCTCTTAGTGGATGGAAGTATATATCCTGGAAATAGCACAGTTAGATATCCTTTGTAATTCTTTCACAGGAAGGCTAAACATTTAATACTAAACAATTCTCCTTTTCTGGTAGCCCAGTAATTTTCCAGGCGAAATTGTGGGATGTAGAATGACTACCAATGACGTGATGGTTTTGAGAAACATGACTTGGTATTCAAATTATGAGTCTGTCTTTCAGTGTACAGATTGCTGGTCTATTGGGCCAACTGCCCAACGAAGGGGAATATTAGCAGTAGCTTTGCTTTGAAATGTGTTCTTATCTTCTCTCCTGAAAGATTCTCTGTGTGTGTTTGTATATGAATTATGTGTCAGAGAGAGGAATGGGGGTTGGAGAATAAAGACTGGCTTGGACCTCTTGGCTTCCATAAAGTCATTAATGCACAGCAGACCAGACTTTAATTCCCGCTTTTTATTGCATTGTGGCCAACACTCCTTCTAATGCCTGGCTGTGGTTACACTTGAGTTCCTCTGCATTCCCCTCCTTCAAGAGCGGACTAGGTGAGAGAAGCCTCAAATTAAAACACGGTTAATAACTGAAACAGGCAGGTAGTTTTTGCTGCCCCATGAGGCTGTTGCCTCTCCTGAGTAGACCTCCATGTTTTAAAGGCTAGGGGGTTCCCCAAGATTAAAGAGCAGGTGTGGTCCACTTAACCACACCGCTAGGTCTCCACAGCGCCCCCCGTGGTCAAGGTGAGGAGGTGCAGGTGTTGAAAGTTTGCCTCTTGCAAAGATGCTGATGTAACCTCCTCAGGCACCTTCCGTGTGAAGATATGAAAGAATGACAGA